TAAAAAACAGTCTATAGTGGTAAGAAGAGAATTAGCTGTTTAAAAGAAGACAACAGGACAAATGTGTATGTGTAGTCAGTTTTGTTATGACCTATTTTTTTCCAGACGTTTTGTAGAAAAATAGTTCCATGATTCTACTATTCCATTATCTACATTGCAGGACTTAAGATGGGATGACTAGACAGTTTCCAAAACCATTTTTTATGCAGTTCTTGAAACTGTTGGGTTTGAAAGTCTTGCTAAATACTTGATGTAGTATATTTTGGACTATTTTGGAATATGTACTCTATTTCCAACTTCAGTATGTCATCTGCCATTAGGAACTATTTATTGAAGTTATTTTTGTGTCATAAAAACTTCATATTTAGGACACTGTTCTATCTCAATAAGGAAAGATTATTTTATTTGTGTGAGGGTATATATTGCCACAGCTTTACTAATTATTTGTTGTTCTAAGAAGAACCTTGTATGTTTTCACTAATGAAATCAACAAGCTTAAAACTTGATTAATTCTTTTTCTTTTCACTTTTTAATTACTATGGCATTACTCTGAAAGTGTGAAGTATCCTGTTACCAATATAGCAGGGAACTTCAGTAATTGATAACAGAGGCAGTAGAGTGGGCTGTATTGCTAACAGAGTGCCTGAGCACTCAAGCCTGCAGAAGAGCAGCTATCTGGGAAAGCAGTGCAGTTCTAGGATGACTGACTATCATCCTGGTGAACCTATGTATTTGAGAGGGGTCTTTGCAGTAGAGGAAAGGAAGCTTGCTTGTTTGTGATCATTGCCTATAATTTCCTTCTGTTTCAGGTTACTGAAATGTCAGCTTTTTCTTTGTAAGTTCAGTTTATTTATTTTTCATACAAATACAACTTTGAAATTTCCCTTACTTTACCTCCACTTTCTCTGATATCTTTTTTTATTTTGGTATCAATGGTGTTGTAGTTGACATTAAATCCTCAGTTTGGAAGTTGCAAACTCTATTGCAAACATCTTTCGTAGAAGAAAGAATAAAGTAATATAAGAGGTGTTTAGAGAGCTCAGAAGTAGAAGATAATGGAATTTTTCACTCTTCTCATGATATTTAGCTTTTTTTAACAACCAGATTCTATAAAAATTAATAAGGTATGCATTAGAACAGTTCATTTACATTTAATGATAATTTTTCATTGGTATAGCTTGAAGTTTCAAAGTGTGCCTTTTTTGGAACAGTAATTCATTTGTTGCCATGAATCTTGTAGAAAAGATACAAGTCTTTAATTTTTATGCAGGGAGAAAGGTTCTTTTTGAAAGAATTATTTTCCCTTAAATTTTGGCCCCCTTTCATTGTTCTTGGTATCTCATATTGAAAAGCTATGATCATGTTCTTGCTGGTTGTTGACTTAGACATAAGTCTAGAAAGGTGACTAGCTATATTCTAGGAAAACAGCCAATTTCAGGTCAAATACAAGTTTCTCTGAGACTATTCCATTTGTTATTAGTAGAACTGTACTGAAAAATTTATGACCAGCATGGAATTAAGAAGGAAAATATTGCAGTTGAAAGTTGGGGGTGAAGGGGGAAGGTGGTTTTGTTTACAGACAGCCTGTTACAAAATTAAAAGGCTGTTTATAGGATTCATTGATTCCAGGAGTAAAGCCAAATAGATGCTTGCCGTAGTTTTGACAAATGGACATGTTCTAAAGTATTTTAGCATACCAGGTTTACCATCCTGTTTCCAACTATATGTGACTTACAAAGAGTTTGGAAACCTAGAGTTGGTGACTTTTGGATGTTTGCTAGACCTCTTTGCTATGAGTGTAAATTTTTATACTTGAACTGCAGAATCATTAACATATATTACTATCAAATTTAAAAATCATGGAACATCTTAAGTAATTTCAGGAAAGGCATCTGTCGCTGTAGTCTGAAGTTATCTAATATGCCTTATTTAATCAGGGTAAGTGGCCATGGTAGATACAGAAGAATAATTCATTTAATTAATTCTGTATTGTAAGAGGTTCAAAGCGTTGCTAATATTTTTTTTTTTGAACTAAGTAAAATGCTTGACTAGGTGATCGGCCTGGGGTTTAAAAGAGCTTTCATGTGTTTTGGCTGCTGTATTACCAGGTTAATGCTTGTCAGTGGAAAGGCAAAATCTAGAGAGCTGTCTTAGTAGATGGTTATTGTATGAAGTATCAGTGTAGATACAGATGTGTCTTGACTGAAGGTTATAGTTTTTTACCTGTTGAAGCTAATTTAATCCCCCAGCATGACAGTTAATTTTGTGCTGCAGTGAGCCGCAGCTTCAGTTGTATGGATACAGGGCAGTTCTACAGAGAGCTGTGATACAGATTGCTGCAGCCATCTGAATTGTGTTTCTCTGTGAGTTTCTTTTTATCCTGGAATTGCTTCATTGATTTACAGTACAGTCCTACAAACAGTATGATTACTGGGTGAAACTGTAGTGATAAGGTGTCCTAGAAAGGATGGATACTCCTTGAGAAGGTTACATACATTTTCTTATGGAATATGCCAGAAGTTGTTCTGAGAAGGCCGAATTATCTTTCAGATTATGGTTGATTTATAGACTTTTTGTATATCATCTGTGATAGTTAAGTTCTGGTCTTTGCCATTTGTTTTTAAGGTCTATCTGCTCATCATCGTGTTCTGTTGTAAATCCTCACAGTTAATATTTTCTGGGGTATCCCAATTATTACTTTCTGAAAAAGTCGGTTGTGACTTTTTTATATCAATGCATAGAAAATTAAATACGATATTGTAGGAATACATACTAAATCCTTGAAATTAACTGATCTGTCAAAATAATAATAGATGTATTTGAGGCCATCATTTATAATGAAACCACAAAATGGCTACAAGTTGCTCAAAAAAGGCACCAGCTGCCAGAATCTGACATGCTAAAGCACCAAGTTTTTTCACAGCCTTCTTGAAAAATGTGGAGATTTCTTCTGTTAAATAAATGCTAGGTTAAAAAACTAGCTGAAAACCCCTATGACTGGAGTCACAGCAGCAGTGGGGTTTTTTTTTCATGCCCTCCTGTAAGTAAAAGGAAGGGTTGGGTTAATGAAAGACCATCCTTAGTACTTTCTACCACTTACTAGCTGCACATATTGCTGCTTTTGTTTAAGTAACATAATACGCATTTTCCAATCAAAATATGCTCTTTAGGCATTCAACACCTGGATGCTGGCATACTCAAGGTACTTCTAGGAACTAAAATTTAATACTGATTTTTTGATGTTAATAACATTCCAGCATCCATCCAAATAGAATGTGATATGTATCAGACATCTAGTAACCATTTCACTGCCAAATTTTAATGAGATTAATTTAAATTGAGGCCATCCAAAAAAGTTTGGCTATGTAATGTATAGTGTACTCTATTGCTCAGCTGAATAGGCTTCTCTTTATTGCAAATGAATTTAATTGGTGGCAACCAAAACCAAGTAGAATTGGAATTTCTTTAAAATATGTTTTTTATCTTTTTTATTTATTTTAAAGTACTAATGATTTCACAGAGTGTTTGCCACAATTACATGTTGCATTTAAATCTACTGTTAAGATGCTGTTTCATGGTTAGCAATAATATGTCTGCACTGTTGTAAGAAAGGATTGAACACTGTCATATTTTCCCCCCATCTCACACTAACACCTGTGCTCTTTCATGAGCAGCTAAGTTTGGCTAAAAAGGTTTTTCAGCATCCTAACCTGGTCGCAGCCTTCTGTTGTGAATTACCTTCCCCACACTGGGGAAGCAGCAGAAACACATGGTTAATTGCAAAGATGAAAAGAAGCAAACTAGTCCTTTACTAAAGCCAGCTTATAAACCAGTCCTCTATGAGTGGTACTTCTGCAGCCAGTACAAGCCAGCATGATGGCTTGCTGCTGCCAAAGGAAGCCTTCTTAGTCCCATCTCCTTTTCAAGTATCCCTACCGCTTTCTTCACGCTGGATCCTGGTACTTTTCAACCCCTCTTTCAGCTGCTAAACCAACTACCTAGCTCAGCATAGAGTACTGGCAGGTTGGATGACGTAGTCATCTCATGGAAAATCTCTTGGGCACCAGAGCTGGTGCAAGATAAACAGCTCATGGCATGAGCAGGTGGAGGTACTGGGGCAAGGGCAATGGGAACCTCACCTCCCACCAAAGTGGTGAGGAGTTGTTTCAGCTTATTCCATCTTGTAGAGCCATTCACTTAGTCTCAACATTTTCCATGAAAATGCTTTTATGGAGGAGTGAGTATAGTGAAAGTTTCAGGAACCTTAACCACCTTTCAGAGGTGCTGTGGTCTAATTTCATGTTGGTATTCTGAAGCTGATGCTTAGCTTGCTTACTAGAGCAGTCTTAAAGAGTAAACAGACTTAAATGGCAGATAGACACTGATTTTTGAAGAATCTGTAGTGCTCAAATTCTTCTCTGTTAGTAGTCAGAGCCTCAAGTAATCAGTATTATTAAAGCATATACTTCAATTTTTGGTATTTTTTCTAAATATATATGATCCACCATCAAACTCTTAGGACAAGGATTAGGTTTAAAAAGTGCTATAGCTGTATTGAAATATGTATCGAGTTAGTTTTTCTCAAGATCCACTGTGTCCAGTCACAAATGCTGACATTTACTCATGTCTGGAAGCAATCAATGTTGTATTGCAGACCCAGAGCCGGCAGCCAGCTCATCTATTTTCATAAACATTTGTTACTCTTTATTATTTAAAGCATAAACTGTAGTGCGATAAGTAATAAGAGAAGTAAGAAGTGTAACACAGCTGAACTTGCTAACATCTTGAGAAAAGGAAAAGGATAGAAGAAGGAAAGGTTGTGTGGTTGATGTTTTTTCCTGAAAAAATACTTTCACAGCAATACTGGATAATGTATATAGAAAGGAGACATTCTTGGGAAGAACGAATTACAGGAGATGTTGCGCTTTAATATCAAGCTCTTTCTCTGTGACAGATTTTACTAGTAATCTTGTATTTTTTTTGTGGGTTTTTTTTTTTAGCGTGGACTTGACAAGCTGCTTTCTTCTGCTGTCAGTAACAAGCCTTTTACCATGGGTGATTCTGCTCTAGCTACAGGTATATATACAGGAAAAAAAAGAAGGTTTTTATCACAGTTCTTCTTCAACAGTGTGTGATTTATCTGTAAATGTGTTTTAAATTGTATTCTTTATTGTCACCATAAGCAGCCTTACCAAGCCTGAACTATAATCTGTAATCTATCCAATTCAATGACAGTATGGAAGAGTTCCAAAACTGACTAGTTGAAATGGGTGAAACTGTATCTATTTTCTAGAATCATGACAAAGTAAGTAGCCTTCTGTACAGATGCTGAAGTGCCTACTCAATTTTCCTGTAGTTGTGCATTTTAAAGTAATCTCTTTTGAAGTATTTCAAGGCTGTCAGAATTACAGAGACAGAATATGAATATCCTGTATCAACTTCAGTTTTGTGATGAAAAGTTAAGGTGGTTCCCTTGGGTGTCCTTCTTCCTACTTTCTACCCTACTTCTAGAACTTTCTGAGCAGCAGTAGACAGTCCTGTGATTTGTCTTCAGATGTTTTCCTGCCAGTTCTTTTCCCCAGACAGTCTCTCCATGGGTTGAAATGAATGGTAGTGTTTTTGCAAGAGAAGCAGTAGGATTTTTTTTTTTCCTTTGGTCAGATGTTTTCTTAATCTGGTTTGTTACATATCTGCACAGATTGGTCTTCAGCAGAGTGGGTTTTTTGAGCGATGGTGGGACACTAGATGGACAGATGCAGGGTAAGGGAACTGGGTCTATTTAAGCACTGTAATGACTCAGTGTGAAACCAGAGTCACGTGTTTCTTCTAACATGTCAAACTAGTACTACCATCCAAAGAAGTTTATGCTCTCCCCCACTCTGTGTGTTGGAGAAGATGTAGTAAGTGGTTTTGGTTAGCTGTAGGTTTAGATCATAAAAAAAGTAGAAAGTTAGAGAAAGCTGGGACCACTTGCTATAGAGGTACTTTCAGCTTAGGTGGGCTTGAAGTATTAATGGCCCATGGCTCCATAAGTTAAGTAATGTAAATTAACTAACTCGTGACATAGACAATTGCCTGTCAGCAGTGGTTTCCAAATAGTTGATTCTATAATGGGGCAAGGGGCAGAGCAGATAACCTCTTGATAAGCGTCTAAGACTTACTTGCTATATTTCAGATAAGGAGTAAGGAGAAGGGAGAGTCTGAGGAACTAACTTGAAGATTTTTCTTTTTCATTTCTTTGACTTGCACCCATCAGATTGTTCATACTTCTGCTAATCGATTCAGTGTGATGTCCCAGAGGCTTCTGCTTAGCTTGAAACAGCATTAAGTTATAACCCAGTAACTGAATAGCTGAAATATATTTCAGACCTGTGTAGATGGTATTTTTGTGAGAAGAAACCAGCTGGCAAGGAATATAAATTTGTGTTGAGTTCAAATGGCTTTTTATTAATTACCAGTGCAAACACTGATGTTTCATAGTCATGTTCAGGTTGTCTACATGATACTAAACTTTAAAATAAGATAGACATGTTTGTCTCCTAATAAACCAAAAAACCCTCTCATTCTCACTGATAATCCTATACTTCATTTTGAGTTTATATCATCTCTACTGAGATGCAGCTCTTTACCTGATACAACTGCTTCACCTGCAGCAGTTTTTTTTGTTCTGGTGGGTCACAAACATCACAGGAGACATTTTGTCTTTCTTCATCTGAGGCTACTCACTTGGAAAATATTTGTTCCAGTCATGAATCATGGTTATAATGAACTTTCTTTTGTAGTAGCAGGCACTGAATTTCACTGTTCATAAGGCTTCTCTTTGTCTGTCTGGAAGCATTTTTCGCTTTCACACAATTGATTGTAAAATCTGGAAGAGGTGATCACCTTGGGCATACTTTAAAGTATTGCTAAATCAATTTTGAAATTTAGATTCCAGGAAAAACACATTATTATCTCTGTGCATCAAAATTAATATGAATCAATAGCTGGAGAAAGAAGCATAGTTTAAAAAAATGCTGTAGTCTTTATATTTGGGATGGAATGAGTGCTAGATTTTATTGCTGATTCAATGGCTTATCTAAAGTTCCACAAAACTCAATGTAATTGCAACAGGAAAAGAAGCACTTTATTAGCATTTTTAGGTCAGGTACTGGTTACTGTTCAGAAGCCAGATCAACTAGACCTACTGTATGCTTGCTAATGGGTAAATTGTGAAACAGAGGATGCACACTGTATGTACACGGACTGATACCTTTCAGGTAAGCACTGTTCTTTTTGGCTTAATGCCTGACCTGCAAACCCCCGTAACATTCAGTGAAGATGCAGAGAGAAAATGCTGTGCTTGCCACTTAGCTCCATCTCATCACCTCTGCTAATGAATCAGAACCCAGAGGGTACTGCTTTTGGGAGAATATCTCATCTTAAACTAAAAGCAAAATTCCTTTTAGGTTTAGTTACCTGCTTTCTTTAGTCAAGCAGTCCTTGACTTAGTAAAGTCCATGACATCTTATCCGTTTTGAACCTGAAAAATAGGTTTAACAAAATAGAGTGGTTTGTTAGATTTTAGTAGTAATAGATCATGTCGTGGCTTGGTACTGATGTGCATTTAATATACTTCTGTTTGTCTTAAAGTCTCATCCCCAACAAGTGTGCCACATGTTCACGTTTTTCAGAATGCACATAGAGCACATGATGCGATTTAAATTATTTTGATGGAAAAATAAATGTATAACAGACTTTTCTGTTTTACAGGTGGGGGAATTTGTTAACTTAGCTTGTTAGCATGCCATGGTTGGGGCTAAGATCCTCTAACTTGGAATTTTACAGACTCCCACTAGTGAAAAAATTAGTAAACTCGTAAACCTCTGTAAAGATCCTTATACAGAATCACTTGTGTGAACCACTTCTCAGTCTTAGACTGTAGTAAAAACCTACAGCAAAATCTGAAATTAATTAGTTAGCTTGTATAGATATTTTTTTCTTAATCTTTTGTGATTCTCATTGGAAGGGTAAATGCAACACATGAGATGTTAAGACTGTCTCTCATGCTGAAGTGAAGCTGTTTGTGGCACATAACTGAAAAAAGAATGCTGTTTCTACCTTCAAGTGGTATGCAGTTACACTTCGAGAAAATTTCCATCGATTTCCTTTCAGTTTAGGGTATTTTTTTCCTCGAGCCTCATAATCCTCTGTAGCTTGCTTTAGGAAAATCTCTTACGGGGATCTGTATTTTGACTAATTAATTTCATTTTTACTGCTTTAAGTTATTACTCCATTGTGATAGCTTCTAGAACAATATGCCTGTTCCAGATGTGGAGTTCTGCTTAAAAGTGCTTTCGGGGACTCTGAGTCAACTCCTTGAAATGTAACCATTGGTCCCTCACCTGTGACAGAATCCAAATAGGCCTATGTTTAAAAAAAAAAAAAAATGCAATTTGCCAAAGTGAAAGACTTTAGGAACCATTCAGATTTCATGCCTTTCTGCTATATGTCCTTTTAAAAGACTTTTTAAGACTTAGAATCATGTGGGACAGCAGGCTTTCTTTAATAAAACTAAAAAATTATTTGTGGTAGCAACTGAATCTGATTAAGAAACAAACCATGCAGGAATACAAGTTAGTAATAAAAAAAATGAATGTATTGCCTCCCAGTTACTACATGCCCTTCTGTGTAATATGTTACATGGGCATCTGGGAAGAAATTATTGGCCTCTGTATGTAAGACCTAAAAAAACCAAAACCAACCAACCAAACAAAAAAGTACACAAGAAAATAAAAAAACTCAAAGCAAAAAACCCCACACCATTCAGTGCAGTGGAGACTTGGAACATCTGAAGGGTCTTCTTAAACACATCATTTAGTTATATATGATCTGTCCTTTCCTAGGATTCAAAGACATATAGAGAACTCAATGTCAGTGCTGAGACAACAGTTTATCTCTTCTAGGTTTTGGTATCTGTACTGTGCAATAAGTTTGACTTGTTTGCTTGTCCATCCCTGTGCATAAAATATTTTAGAGAATGGGAATGACATGACGAATTCTGATGCAGACCAATCAGCATGTTCCCCTTCACGTGTTCTTCATCTTCGTCATATTCCAAGGGAAGTCACTGAAGTAGACATAATTTCACTAGGCCTCCCGTTTGGCAAAGTAACCAACCTCTTGATGCTAAAAGAAAAAGGTCAGGTATGTAATTTTCAGTGTTTCAATTATAAGAGCATGGCTGAAGATCTGGTTCATGTTGTGTCCCTTTTGGTATTGCATTTGGCTGAAATGATTGCAGCAATGTCTAAATATTTCATTGATAGCTCAAGATTTTCATATTCTCAAATCTGAAAGGATGTCTTATATTTAAGTTTTTAATATACTTTTGGATTAAATAATGATCTAGAAACTTGTTAATAATATTGCTAAACATTATATCCACTTTATGTAAGAATATATAGATGATAAAGAACTACTTTGTCACTACTGATGTTGACATCTGTCTTGAAATAACCTGCCTGATTAAATAATTACCATACATGTTAGTATTTTTTTGAAGTTAAATAAATTGCTTAGGTTGGGTATTTTTAATCCTTTTACATGTGATTGGGTAGTTCACATCATGGATAAACACTGAAATCCTAAAAATAATAGGCATTCATTGAAAAATTTTCTAGAGCACTGAGATGGGTTAATATAATGCACAAGCTAATAGAAATTTAGTGTCCTCTTTCTGCTGTTCCAATTGGTATATGTGTACCTGCTACCTAGGTAGTAGTGCTTGCATTCAGGAATCTAATAAATTCATTAACAGTGTGGTATTTTTAGCAGCATTGCTTCCTATATGTCATACTTATTCCACGTCTTCTTTAATGACTTACCGTATTTACAATGTAAAACCTCTTAAGGAAACCCACAAATCAATTTGTTTGTCTAGTGCTTAATGGTGACAATTGGGTTGAGTGTTTATGGGTAAGAATCAGGGGGAAGGCCAAAAAGGCAGATACCATGGTGGGAGTCTTTTACAGACCACTCAACCAGGATGAAGAGACAGATGAAATATTCTATAAAAAGTTAGGAGAAGTTTCACAATTGCTAGCCCTTGTTCTCATGGGGGACTTCAACTTCCCAGATGTCTGCTGGAAATACAATACAGCAGACAGAGAGCAGTCTAGGAGGTTCCTGGAGAGTGTAGAAGATACTTGCCTGACACTGCTGGTGAGTAAGCCAACTAGGGAGGGCACTGCACTGGACCTGTTGTTTGCGAGCAGGAAAGGCCTTGTGGGTGATGTGATGGTTGGAGGCCATCTTGAGCACAAAATGGTAGCATTTTCATTTCTCAGAGCAATAAGGAGTAGGGCCAGCAGAACTGCTGCCTTGGACTTCCAGACTACAGACTTTGACCTGTTTTGGAGACTGGTTGTCAGAGTCCCTTGGGAGGCAGTCCTGAAGGGCGAAGGAGTCCAGGAAAACAGGACATTCTTTAAGAAAGAAATGTTAAAGGTGTAGGACCAGGCTGTGCCCATGAGCCAAAAGATTAGCCGACTTTGGTTGCAACTCAGGAAAAAAAGGAGAGTTTATGGCCTTTGTAACAAGGGGCAGGAAACTCAGGGGGATCACAATGATGTCGTGAGGTTATGCAGGGAGAAAATTAGAAGGGCCAAAGCCCAACTAAAACGCAATCTGTCTTCTGCAAGAAAGACAAATTAAAACTGTTTCCGTAAGAACAGTAGCAACAAAAGGAGAGCTAAGGAGAATCTCTATCCTTTCCTGGATGCAAGGGGAAATGCAGTGACAAAGGATGAGGAAAGGGCTGAGATACTTAATGTCTTCTTTGCCTCAGTCTTTAATGTAAGAACAGTTGTTCTCTGAGTACACAGCCCCCTGAGCTGAGAAGAGAGGGATGGGAAGCAGAATGAAGCCCCACAATTCAAGGGGAAATTGGCAACCTGTGACACCACTTGAGCACACACAGGCCTATGGGTCCAGATGAGATGCACATAAGGGTATTGAGGGAGCTGGCAGAAGTGCTCACCAAGCCACTTTCAATCATTTGTCAACAGTCATGGCTAACCGGGGAGGTCCCAGTTGACTGGAAATTAGGAAATGTGATGCTCATCTACAAGAAGGGCCAGAAGGAGGATCCAGGGAACTACAGGCCTGTCAGTCTGACTTTGATGCTAGGGAAGTTTATGGAGCAGCTCATCTTGAGTGTTATCACGTGGCATGTGCAAGACAACCAGGTGATCAAGCTCAGTCAGCATGGTTTTATGAAAAGCTGATTCTGCTTGGCTAACCTGATCTCCTTCTATGACAAGGGGGCCTGTTTAGTGGATGAAGGGAAGGCTATGGATGTTGTCTACCTGGACTTTAGTAAAGCCTTTCACACTGTTTCTCACAGCATTCTCTTGGAGAAATTAGCTGCTCATGGCTCAGATGGGTGTACTTTTCACTGAGTAAAAAACTGACTGCCAGTGGAGTTAAATCCAGTTGGCAACCAGTCACAAACCATGTTCTTCAGGGGTCAGTACTGGGGCCAGTTCTGTTTAATATCTTTATCAATGATCTGAATGAGGGCATTGAGTGCTCCCTCAGTAAGTTTGCAGATAACACCAAGTTAGGCAGGAATATTGATCTACTTGAGGGTAGAAAGACCCTGCGGAGGGATGTGGACAGACTGGATTGATGGGCCAAGGCCAATTTTATGAGGTTCAACAAGGCCAAATGCCGGCATCTGCACTCTAGTCACAGTAACCCCATGCAATGGTACAGGCTTGGGGGAGTATGGATGGGGGGAGCAATGGTACAGGCTTGGGGAAGAGTGGCTGGAGAACTGCTTGGCAGGAAAGGACCTGGGGGTGTTGGTCAACAGCTGACTGAACATGAACCAGCAGTGTGCCCAGGTGGCCAAGAAGGCCAACAGCATCCTTATATTAGAAATAATGTGGCCAGTAGGCTAAGGAAGTGATTATCCCCCTGTACTCGGCACTACTGAGGCCACATCTCAAATACTGTGTTAAATTTTGGGGCCACTCACTGCAAAAAAGACATTGAAGTGCTGGAGCATGTCCAGAGAAGAGCATTGAAGCTGATGAAGGGTCTAGAACTCAAGTCTTACGAGGAGTCACTAGGAAGCTGGGATTGTTTATCTTCAAGAACAGAAGGCTGAGGGGAGACCTGATTGCTCTCTATAGCTACCTGAAAGGAGGTTGGCAGCGCTAGGTTTGCAGTTGAACTCAATGATCTTCTCCAACCTATGTGATTCTGGGGTTCTACGAAAGCAGATATGTCCACAAGCATGCACATTCAAATGCATTTTAATACTGAATAAATCGGTACTGTACTTTCACATGAACTTTTTGTACTGAGAATGGAATTGCAAGTAAATGGTGCTTTGATGCTTTGTTCTCTCCTGTAAACAAAACAACACTGAATACTGCTATTTATTGGTTGCAGGCATTTTTGGAAATGTATTCTGAGGAAGCCGCTGCTAATCTGATAAGCTACTATAGTTCTTGTGCACCTCAGCTCCAAGGTCAGTCTGTTTACATTCAGTATTCCAATCACAGAGAACTTAAGACTGACGCTCTACCTAATCAAACTGTAAGTATAACCATTTAACAGGATAGAATTGCATTTGAGTTGTGTATTGGTATTGGCTAGGGTAGTTTGTTTTCTTTATAGTAGCTTGTGATACTTACATACTGTCAAGGCCTTTTCTACTTCTCACGCTGCCCTACCAGTGGGAGTGCACAAAAAGTTGAGAGGAGACACAGCTGGGACAGCTGACCCCAACTGAGCAAAGGAATATCCCACACCATATGGAGAATTTTCTTCATGGAGAAATTGACTCTGTAAGAGGAGGAACCTCTTTAAGTTCAACAAAGACAAATGCCACCTCCTGCATCTGAGGAGGAGTAATCCGAGGCACCATTGTACACTGAGGTCAACGAACTTGAAAGCAGCTTGGCAGGGAAGGACCTGAGTGTCCTGGTGGACACCACATATGCTCTTACAGCAAAGGCAGCCAGCAGCCCTCACAAACTGCTTATCCACTCTCCAACTATGACTCATCCACCTAATCACAAAACAACTTATACTTCCCCTAAACAAAGCAGGCCACAAGTGAGTCCTAATTCTAACATCACTAATATTCCTACTGGCAATCAACCTACTAGGACTCCTACCATACACATTTACCCCAACCCAGTTATCAATAAACATAACACTAGCTTTCCTGCTCTGACTTGCCACTGTCCTCATGGGCTTGTGAAACCAACCTACTATCTACCTCCTACCTGAAGGCACACCAACACCTTTAATCCCAGCCTTAATCATAATCAAAACAATTAGCCTACTAATTTGCCCAATAGCCTGAGGAGTTTGCCTCACAGCAAACCTCACAAGCGGATACCTTCTAATCCAACTTATCTCCACAGCCATCTTTACCTTCCTTCCTAGTATACCAACAGTATACATTCTAACTGCCTCAGTCTTACTCTTGTTAACTATCTTAGAGGTAGCAGTAGCCATAATTCAGGCCTACGTATTTGTCCTTCTACTAAGCCCGTACTTACAAGAAAATATCTAACAACCCACCAAGCACACTCATACCACATAGTAGACCCAAGCCCCTGATTCGTCTTTGGAGCAATTGCTGCCCTACTAACTACTTCTGGACTTACCGTAGGATTCCATTCCATTTGAGCTCTCTCCAACTCCTAGTCTTAGGTTTAGTCTCCATATTCTTAGTTATACATCAATGATGACGTGACATTGTTTGAGAGGGCACATTCCAAGGACATCACACCCTCACAGTCCAAAAAGGCTTATGATATGAGATAATCTTATTGATTACGTCCGAAGAATTCTTCTTCCTAGGTTTCTTGTGAGCGTTCTTCCACTCCAACTTAGTCCCTACCCTTGAATTAGGAGGACAATGACCCACAATGGGAATCAAGCCACTCAACCTTTAGAAATGCCCTTACTAAACACAGCCATTCTCCTAGCGTCCGGAGTTACTGTAACATGGGCACACCATAGCATTATAGAAGACAACTGAAAGCAAGCAACTCATGCCCTGTTCCTCATCATCCTACTCAGATTCCACTTCACAGCACTCCAGGCTGTAGAATACTATGAAGCCTCATTTTCAATCACCAGCTGGGGATAGGGCTCACCCTTCTTCATCGCCACAGGCTTTCATGGTCTCCATGTAATCAGATCCTCCTTCCTATCAGTTTGTTTCCTATGAGTAACTACATTCCACTTTGTAAATAGTTTTTGGTATGCTGGCTGGTTGTTAGTCTATTACAATATTGTCGTTATATTGATTTGCTGGAAAAACTCCAGAATAACAAAAGCTTACAGAACCAAAGCAAAATTTTGTCTATATGATATTACAAAGTAGTAACTGTTTAACTAAAAATGAAAGTCATAATTCCATGAAAGTATGAACTGACTTCTTTTAGAGGAAGGGGAAGGGAGAGATATGATTTACCTTTTAACATGGAACTTGAATAGATAATCAGATAAAGGGAGTGTGTTTTTTGAAAGTAGCATTTGAAATGCATTTTACATGCTTTTCTTTGTAAGAGGACTTTGTTTAGATATGAATAATTCATGTACATGTAATTGTGGTCTCTGCTGTGTCATGATTTCAGAATGCCCAAGCCACATTGCAAGCTATGAATGCTATTCAGTCTGGAAATCCGCCTGTTACAAGTGGTCTTGGCGCTGAAGGTGGGCTCCCTTCAGGTCAAGGTTCTGTTCTTCGAATCATTGTTCAAAATCCTGTGTACCCTGTCACTGTAGATGTGCTGTATCAGGTAATGAGGATTGCTAAAGAAAAATAGTTTAAATCTGTTCCAATGAAATCCATTAAGTTTGGTTTTGGTGGGTTTTTTGGTTTTTTTTGTTTTGTTTTGTTTTGTTTTTTTTAAGTACCTGTCAATCCTTAATCATTTGAATGAGGACTGTCACTTTAAAATGATTTGTTGCAATTTAGGGATCTAGGCTGGGATCAGCTTTGCACAAAAAAATTAAATCAAAGTAAACAGGGCTTCTGTACTCAACTTTTAATGTCTTTCATTTCTTTTAGTTCCTTGGCTTCTGTGGAAGCAGCAACAAATGCGAGGTGTTGCTTTTAATTTATGCCCACATGATGAGCTAGTGAAACACTCACTGTTATAAACTAGTGGAGTAATATTTTAGCACTCTTTGTACTAAGTAACTCTTGTAATTTATTTTAGGTTTTTATATTCACTTTTATAATTCGGCACAACTTATTTAATAAGTATAATTGCTTGGACAAATGTTTTTGATTGTTCATCAACTGTTAGAATGACGTTTACATTACCTCTGAAAGCCTGGTGTAGTGGTGGGCTATAGCTGTGAAAGACATTACCATTACTCCTGCAAGTAGCGGTGTTATGTTGTTGAGAGCTATAAGGTTAAAAGCAATAACTTTACAAGACTATCTATTTGTGTGTGAAGGACTTGTCAATAGTTTTTCTTTTCAGATATTGCAAAGGGTTTCAAACTTGAAAGCTTTTGTAATTACTAGTAAATCTGGGCAGTAAAAAACATGTCCCAAACATGAGTGTCTTAAATTAATGTGATTTAAAATAATTGGGAGGTTTTTACAAGATTCTGCAGCCCTGGATGAAGATTTTTGCTGCTCTACTAGCATCTCAAACAATAGTTGATTGTTACCAACACTTTATTTTTTCTCTTACCTCTTAATATTTCCTCTTTCTCTGTAACTCCCCTGTCATGGTACTGATTAACTAGTATATTAATTGTCACTTTGATGTAGCAATTTGCCTGATTTAAACTTTTGTTTGTATCTATGAGTATTGTTCACTCATTGTTGAGTGAACTGAGTGAACAGGTCAACTGTTTTTAGAATTAAAGCATACTCAGAATAACCTGAGAACAAAATGTGTGGTTATGGAAGCTGTACTGGTTTAACAGTGCAACAGCAATTCCTGTATCTAACCTTCTGTGGGTTTTTTATGTTTTTGCTTGTTTACTAGGCAAGCAGTGGAAGAGGAGTTTCATGTTAATGTACTTTAATTTGATTAATGTTTACTTAGTGTAGCAGAACTATATTTTCAGTATTTGAATTGCCTAATGACCCTCACTCAACTACTTTTGCAATAAATCTAGAAAATTAAGCAATATTTGAAAAGGGAGATTATTTGAAGTTCTTAACAGGGGGTAATCTCCTCTAATTAAAGCAGTACTCTGTGCCTGATAGCTGCTATGTAGCGTTACTTTTTAAGCGTAGTAAGGTTAATGAAAATGAAAATTTTCACTGATAAGTATAGCATCATATGGAACACTAGTAGGCAAGTGGTCATCCAGAACTTTGGCTATAATTTGTAAATTATAACTGCTTGTCAAGAAACTAACACTTCTTTTTAAACTGCAATTGACCTTAAAATACTTATAAGAAACAGAATATTCAGTGTCATCTTTGCAGAAGCAAAATTGATATATACAGTGGGTTTTAGGATTAAAACCAAACAAAAATACCTGGAATTTCATTATCTTAAAAAGATCTATTTAGTCTTGTGAATAAACATGGAAAAGCATGCATTCAGAAGCTGTAGTTAGGCCTTTCTTAATGGGAAGTGGTTTATGAGCAGGAACTCAATCACTAATTCTAAATTGCTATGAAAAGGGTTTCTGTTCTGTGTTCTACTACAAAATGAAGACTGCAGCATAAAATCCTTGTTTCTGAGAGACTAAAAACTAGGCACAAAGGGTTAGGACAGTGTTTCTTGTATCTGTGATTCTAGGCTTAATAGTCTGGCAAGACGTGTTTGTCCTTATCTCTGGCCTTCTTTCTATTCTAGGCTTAATACTTTTCGGTGGGGTTCTGCTTTCCAGACTTTGCATCAATTCTAACAGTTAGTTCTAAATCAGTTAGTACTTCCCAAATTCATCTGTCCTCTGTTAATTTGGACAGCGTTTTTCTGCACTTACATGATATGTCCTAACTATACTTTTGTCCCCATTCTTTATGGATTTGCTTTTGTATAGACATCTTCATGTATTGCACACACTCACTTTGAGTGTATATATATTTATAATTTCAGCCTTTTAAAATTTTTCTGCAATGTTTGCATTTGCAATAAATCAAATAACATTCAATTGTAAATTAGAGGGATTAGGTACCAAACTAGCCTTTTGTCTTGCTTGTTTCCTTCTTTTTCTTCTAGCTTGGACAGTGAGTCTTCATAATTAATTTGTAGACACATCAACTATTTAAAATGTATTTTTGATCACTAAATTTGCAGAATTTTTTTGAAGTACACAATGCAAAGGTGGATACCTTGAAAGGCAGTTTGCAGTTCCTATCTCAACTGACTTCTGAAAATCCATGCCTCAAACCTCAGCTTTGATTACCCCCAGTTTTTCTGCAGACACTAGAAAATGGCTGTTGGGGCTGGCCTTCCCTGCTCTTAGTTGAACAGCCATTGCTAAATCTTTAAGAAAATTTTGCCCTTCTTCCCCATCTTTTGTAGCCTCTTTTTTAAGATTTTTTTTTTAATAATCTGTAACAAAATTCTGAGTTCACTCAATTTGTGTTCAGCTCTCACAAAAGAAATAATTTTCAGAAATTTATATGAAGTTTTAAATGCTAGTCTTTAGTGTACGTGAATTATTCATTGTTTTTGAAAGTCCATGTTTCTTCCTTCTCAGGTTTTCTCTAGATTTGGAACTGTCTTGAAGATTGTCATATTTACTAAGAACAGTCTATTGCAAGCTTTGCTCCAGTATTCTGATCCAGTTAATGCATTTTATGCCAAAATGGTAAGCATTGTTTATTCTTGTTGATTCTCTCTCCACTCCCATTCCCTCAGTAAATGGGGAACCTTAGGAATAGCTTGATCATTAACCTATGACTTCTCATTATTCTAATACTTTTGTTGCACATAAATAATTTTAACATCCCTCATTAATTAAGAGGATAGCATGCTATCTAACTGGAATCGGTTGCTAAGAGAGGTGGTGGAGGCCCCAACCCTGGAGATAATAAAGATCAGGCTTGATGGGGCTCTGAGCAACCTGATCTGGTAACGTTGTCCCTGCTCACTGCAAGGGGGTTGGACTGGGTGAGCTTTAAAGGTCCCTTCCAACCCAACACATTCTGTGATGCTATGATCATCAACTGCAAGCATAAATGTATAGCACACACCCCAAGACCTGCATGAGTCTATCGGAACAGAAATCAGAGCTGTCAGTAGTAATCAGTGATGGTAACTGTAGCTGACCAAAGTCTTTTACCTTTTGAACTAAATGGAATATTTTTAGTGAGGATAAACACTAAGAGTAGTGTAGTTAAATGCCTAGAGATTAGATGAATGTTACATGTTTTACTTGTTCAAATTTTAATGAGAAATTTACAGTAATCAGTGTTTTTCACCTTAAACTTCTTAATTTCAAATGAGCTGTACTCTGATTTTAAAAATGCACATTCTTAGTAATGAAGAAAATCTCACCTATTTTAGGTGTATCTTCTGTGGTGGGTTAGCCTTGGCTGGCTGCCAGACACCCATCAAGCTGCTTTCATTCCCCTTCTTTGGCAGGACTGAGGGAAAAAATAAGATGAAAAAGCTTGTAGGTTGAGATAAGGACAGGGAGATGGCTCACCAATTACCATCACAGGCATAACAGACTCACCTTAAGGAAGATTGATTTAATTTATTGCCAATTAAAGATAGAGTAAGATAGTAAGGAACAAAAACAAAAGTAACACCACCTTACCCACACTATTATTCCTTCTTCCCAGGCTCAACTTCACTCCCAACCCTTCTACTTTGTTCCCTGAAGCGGCGTAGGCGGACAGAGAATAGGGCTTGCAGTCAGTACATAACATATTGTCTCTGCAGCTACTTCTTCCTCACACTGTTCCCCTGCTCCAGTGTAGATCTTCCCCAGAGGATACAGTCCTTCCCCATGGATGGTGACTCAACCACTTCCCTGGGCAGCCCATTCCAATGCTTGACAACCCTTTCAGTAAAGAAATTCCTCCTAATATCCAACCTAAACCTCCCCTGACACAACTTGAGGCCATTACCCCTTATCCTATCACTAGCTACAAAGTAGAACAGACTGACCGCCACCTTGCTGCAGCCTCCTTTAAGGTAGTTGTAGAGGGCAGTAATGTCTCTCCTCAGCCTCCTGTTCAGGAGGCTAAACAACCCCAGTTCCCTCACCTGATCTTCATGAGACTTGTGCTCTAAACCCTTCATCAGCTTAAGTAAGGGACAGTTCTGTACAATAAAAATCTCCAAAATAGTATAGCTACTAGCATCTGATATAATTTATTGAGTAGGGGGCAAGTAAGAGTAGAAGCACAGCTAGAAAGACAAGTCATGCTTAGTTATGATTTTTCCATTGTCACAAGTTGATGTAATACTTACTAATTAGAGGACTACACTAGTACTCTATAGAGGACATTTAGGTAAGGATAGTGTCAATCTAATTGTCTACTTGCTGTTTAAAAGCAGCACCTTAAAAATAGAAGATTAATTTTGGTTTGGGTACAATTGTAGGGTGAAAATAAAATAAACTTACAGTGGTGGCTACCACTATGTATATTGTCTCTGAAAATGTAATTATTTTTCTTTAGACTCTGGATGGCCAAAGTGTCTACACTGGATGCTGCACTCTGCGTATTGATTTCTCCAAGTTCACTAGCCTTAACATATCGTACAACACTGAGAGAAGCAGAGATTTTACTCGCCTGGACCTTCCTTGTGCAATGAGCCAACCAGCCCTGGAGCTACCCACAACTTCTGCTGTTGGTAAGAAATCCTCACTTTTAATGATAAATACACAGTAAGATAATTACGCTTTTTACGTTGCATTTTTGCTGTGGCTGCATATCAGGTTGACAAAATGGTACATTTTGTGTACACTTCTGTTTGTTAGGTCCAGTAAAATTTATATGGAAAGCAGAAAGTCATAATCAAGATAAATTAATATCTGAAACTGAAACAGGAGGAATGCTTTTGGGCAAATTCATTGTCAAAAAGCTATGTTTCTAAACTGCTGTCAAATTAAATCACTGGTACAGGCAGTAGAATATAAATGTTGCTTATCAGAACGATCAATGGCAATAATCCAAAATTTACACTGGTTGCCTGAGCTGCTTGAAAATTAGTGTTTTAAGGGTGTTAGCTCTTGTTGATATTTTAGGATAACTGCCTGCTGTAACAAAACAAACCATAAGAAACTTAGAAATGCTAGAGTTATTTATGTATGTTTTGTAGTCTCCTTCTGAAAGATAAAATTTTAGAAATTTTCTTGAAGTTTAGAAGTCACTTCCGTGACATAAAGGAGACAGTGTCTGCTTGAATCCACACTGGAGAAGCCTTTTTGGCATAAATAGCTCTGGTGTGCTCATTTAATCAATTTCGGTAATATTGCAAATCACAAAACAGATTTATTTGATGACTGAGTAGAAGTGCTCAGAATGCAATATGAATTATTTTGGCTATTTTTCCTTCTCTCTAACAGCAACTAGTAGCAATATTATGCAGCTAAGAACTGTCTCAGCTGTTGAATAGGTATCTAAGAGTTGTGCAGTTGGTTAGAATAGTAGCAAGGGCTTGGGAAGAATTCTTTTTTTTTTTTTTAATGTAGTGTTCTGTGATAGCTAGGGCATATAGTGGGTTTGGTTAGTTTTTTGGGATAGTTGGCTCTGGTAGCTTAGATTAGAGTATGAAAGTGAGTTGCAGTCACTACTTTCTTGATTGTTTTTGCTGGTCCTCCTAAATGCAGGCTTTGGATCTTCATGTAATACACAACTATCTTTATAATTTTTTTTGAGGATTTGGCATACAGCTTCATGGAATATGCTGATATAGATCTGATATGTTCTGATTAATTAGACTTACATAATTTGAAATTCTAAAGAAAAAGTATAATTACAGTGGAATAAGGACAAACTTGCTTGTAAGGCAGAGATAACATTATATGCGTGCTTTAGGAGGCTAACACATGGGTGCTTCTCCAGTTCCTTCTCTCTGTCTTCTAACTTGTCATTGCTAGCAGTCTTGTTTTCAGTCTGAATATTTACTGTAACAGTAAGAAGAGCACAGGTGGTGTTGTAAAGGAGAGTCTGATGTCTGTATCAAAATTTGTTTGTAGTGCAGTCACAGTGAAGCAGCTTCATAGATATTTTTCTTTTGAAAAAATAGCTGCAGACTGGGAGAAGCATGCTTCTAGCCTTTCTGTAAGTGGTAACAACATGCATATCTTGCCATAAGCATGTGCTGATAGTCCTCAGTTGCCAGATATAAGGAAAAGACATTTGGAATAAATGTCAGCACTTTTACTTCCTATGTTATTACTAGTGGATGTCGTTTTCATGGAGAATTAAGGTAAAGCAGGTAACTGTCAGAACAATATATCAATTTTTCTGTAGACTTGAAATTATCTTAATAGCAAAACTGAACTGCTCTTGAAACTTTTTTCCTCTTTTTTTTTTTTGCTGTTGTTTTTGGTGGAAAAGACACTGCACTACAAACAAGCAGATTTTGTGAACATTTTGCATTTAAAGAGTTACCTCACCTACTGAGCATAAGCAGAGAGAAATGAATTGGCTTGCTTTGAAAGCTAGCTGCTAGCCATGTAGCAAATTATTTTACACATAAAAATATGCAACAAAGAATTACAGATCTTTCTGCATTATCTCTGTTTGATAATTTTTGCTTGCCTGATTTTGGTATCAGTGTACAGCATGCAGGTCTTATTTGGCAGCATAAAAGTGCTTTATCTATTTCTTCATTAATGTTTCCATTACCATTCTTGGGTTGCGAATAAGTGATTAATACCTATATTGCCAGAACTTGTCAGTGTAATGCACCATTGTGTGTATTTCAAGAACACAATGACTTGCTTTGGTGTGATAAATGTATTCAGTTGTTTGTATGAAAGATGCTTTGTTGCTGCAGATAAGAGAAGGTGTAATGTGATGCAGTATTCATGAATATTTGATCCGTGGTGTCTGTTTCACTTGTTGTTTTTGTAATTCATAAGGGGTACTTCTTATGATATTGTATCATCCCTATCAATAACCATCTGTTAGTGAATGTAGCTATTTTAGTTAATGGTAGAGGTCTGAGTATTAAAACAGACAAGTTGTTAGGCTTGCAGAATGTGTTTGCTGATTGTACATGCCTTCTTTAAAAAAAACCTAGTATGCTAACATACGAAAGAATCCACAACTCAAGCTTGTTATCTAAGTGCCTCTTAAAACACAAGGTCATGTGCTGCCCCATGTAGTGCTTAACTCCACATAGTAATGTGGAAATCACTGAGCTATCTTTGAGTCTAGGACTCTACATATGTTGATATTCCAAATCTCTTTAAGGCTTGTGGTTGCCAGGAGAACCATTAAAAAAATGGTTATTTCTGAAGTAATACAAGCTGGGAAAGTACATCTCCTTAAAAAGAAAATATGTCTACTTTATTCATCTCAGTAGCTAGTAATATTCAGAACCTCAGATTCATTGTAGTTGTTTGTATTATTTAGCCTATACTGCTTTTAGAAATATCTAGGACATAGTTGTATTTCATAATTGAGGAAAGTCTTTGAGTGTATTTACTTCCAGAAAATTTCCAGAATGCATGTCCATTGTGTGAATAAAAACTATTGAACGTTGCCTCACTGGTCTCTTAACAGATACTAATCTATGTTGTGCTTTCCTATTCAAATTTGTCTAAGTTACATTCGGCTCTGACTTCGTTTTAGAGAGGGACATAAAGGCTGATTGGAAAATTTGCCTTCAAAAGTGGCTGAAAATTGTCTTTGTAAAACACAATCTTGAATTTCAATGAGAATTTTACAGCCATTTTATAAAAGAAGTAATCATGGACCAAATTCAGAATAGCAACACCGGAAGCTGATTCTCATTGCTAAAGTCTCTTCTGTTTTCTAAAACTTTAAACAACGGTTTTAATTAGATAAGTTTGCTCTCTCTAGGAATCCAAAATGTGGTCCACCCATCATATGCAGGGGCTCCTGTGTATACCTCAGGCATGGGGTTTCTTCAAGGTGCTGGTAAGTTTCTATTTTCTAAAAATATGGTGTTTGCATCTGGGGCTAGTGGTCTATCTGAATACACGTGTTCAGAGCAAATTGTTTTCAAATACAGCAGTCAGAACACAATACTCATTTGAGTCATTCCAATTCTTATATTACTCAGTAAAATTACTTTCTGTAATAAAAAACATAAGTTGATGTAATTTATAATTTAATAAGTGAAGAAATTAAGTGCCATGATAAAGATTACCTGCAAGAGAAGAAACTAATAATCTGTTTTTCTAAGAATTGTAATACTTCAGTGACATTCAAAGCTAAAGCAGGAAGTTTCCCCTTTTCTGGCTATAAAATGAGAAATAAATAGTCTTCTAGACTCAGTGATCTCTTCCTTTCTAGCACAGGATAAACTTTTGTGCTAAATTATTTTTCGTCTTTCTTGGGCTGCAATTTATGTCCCCTTTTGTTTGGATCTGTTGGTGTAGCTGAATATTTCATCATCTCTGGAGGGTAGGTGCTTCCTGATTTATTGATCAGAAACTGGGAATAATTAAAATTCTTAAAAGCATTTTTTTAATTTAATAGTGATGTTTTTGCCAAACATCGTCTGCTTTTATATTCTAAAATGGCTTTTCCACTTTGAGATGTCAAGTCATGCTATTAATACCCTTCCAGGTCCTTCAGTTCCAGCTTTTCCTGGAGCAGTTGGTCCTCTTGCAGTCCCCACATCTGCAGTGTCTGGACAGATTACTATTCCTGGCCTTCCTTCTGCTTCAGGAAATTCTGTGTTATTTGTCAGCAACCTCAATGCTGAGGTAAGTTTGGTTGGTGGAACTGATGCAAATATCAACTTGCACCAAGTGCCAGAATTGTTCTTGCAAATTTACATTAGCTGAAGGAATAAGAGAGGAAATTTCTATACTGATAACATAAAAAACAGGACAGCTCTATTCTTGTTTGAGATAGTTTGCAGTATTTATGAATTTTACAAAACTCTAGTCAGCAGTGAAAAGCTTTCTTACACAATTTACTTTAGGAAATCTCTGTTAGCAGTGTAGCTAGTAATTAGACTATGTCTATGGTCAGACATCAGAAATGCTTGAAGAGACAAACAACATGTATTATGACTAAGTTTACTGATATCTCTGTGTACTACTTTATCATTAAAGAAGCCGAAAAATTTTTCATTTGTTAAAAAACATGAGGAGTTAGAGAAACAGGACAGAAGAGAGAAGGAGATAAAAGCATACCAGATCAAGTACCTTTCAGAACATTGATAGGATCTTTCTAGTTTTGCAACTTCTTCCCAGACTGGAGAGGAAGAACACAGGTACTTTAATATTGACATCACTGTAACCCATTTTTAAAAGTTAATGATACACATGTTCACTTTTTATAGTACCACACAGATTTTTTTTTTTTTCATATATTGGCAGTCAAATTGTCATGGACAACTTGGATGGTTATTTTTATAGTGGAAATGACATAGATTGTTCTATAAGCGTACTCCTGTTACTCAAATATTACACACTGATCTATGCATAATTAATAGCAATGTACATCACTTAAAAGAATAAAAATCAAGCTTTACCAAGGCCATGACTTAAAATGCAGTTCTACTTTACTGTTGATAAGCAGTTCTATTACAAAAAAAATAAAATTATTTTTGCTTTATATGCTTGTCAGATTCACTTAACCATAGAACTGATACCTTCCTGTTGTTGAGGTTTAAAAATCTGTGACCAGTTCATTTAATCTACAAGTAATTGCTGTGGTGGTGTTTTTGTACTAATAGCTGAATTCCACAGAAAGCATCAAAAGAAACAGCTGCAGATGCAGACTGTAAGACAAGTCAATTTTTCTTTGATTTGTCAATATATCTTACCAGTTAATTTCTGATGATTACTTAAGAGTGTTTTTTAAGAGTAAGCATATGAGAAGCACAGGTCAAAGCTATTTTCACAACATTGCTGTTTTACTTAATACTAATATCTAAGAAGTTGCCATGTAAAACTTTGTGCTGCAATGCATGATACTACATAAATGCATTAAATAATGCTCAACTTAAAAGGTGAAAAAACAAGAATGTACAACAACAGTAATTGTTGGAAGTATAAATTGTTGTAAATACATTTCTTGGCAACTGTGTAACAGTTGTTCTACAGTAGTGTTTGTCTGAGCCCTTTCACTTTTCTGTGTATAGAAAATCAGGTTGGACTTATTTCAATCTCTATTTCTCCCCTGTTGCAGGGTTTCAGAGTGCACTTGAACATTCCTTCGTGATTTTTAAACTGGCTGTTTGTTTTCCAAAAAACCATTTTCAGTAGAAATATTGCAGTCTCATTTGGTTAAGAAATATCTTTAAATAAACTCTGTGCTGGATTAAAATATTTGGGCCAGAAGGATAAACTCTAGAAGCACTTAAATTTTACATTGATAGTAGTTGTTCCTTATTACTAAATGCTGATGATAAAAGGGTATGGGCTTACACTTAGGCTGCAGTACCTTCTGTTTTTATATAATTTAGTTATGTTTGTTACACATTTCTACTGTTGTGAGTTGAGAAGCAATAGGGCAAGAGAGTGTGTGTAGTTGCTCCTGATACCAGGTATTTTTAGTACTCATTACTAGCAAAACCTTTGCCTCAGTTGAATCAAATATAGCTGTGTTAAGATGTAAATTATCTTCTTTGATGCTTGGGGAGCTTGATAAACAAGGAATTAACAAAAAATCACTGGAGAAAAATTACAGAATGCAATACCACTTTCTATATGCATCATATATAAATAGCTAAATGGTTTGTGTGTCCCTTTAGCATGTCATGGTCACTTACAGAGATGGAGACAAAACTGAAGACAAAGCAAACATGTTTTGAATCAACTGCTTTTAGTTTTGTAGGTGTTATCTGCTATTTAGCAAATACAAAGGAGTTCTTGAATGCTCTTTCTTGTTTAGCGAATGTCTTTCGTTTTTCAGAGAATGAACTGCTACCTTGGAAAGAATAAGTTCAAATAATTAAACCACTTAAATATAAATAACTTCTTTAGCATGAGAGACTGAGTCTTGAGTGATGAAAATGCATGAGTTGACATTGTTTAAATATTTTATATGTGTGTAGCAAATATATATTAACAAGAATGCTGCACACTGTAATTACTGCAAGAAATGGCTTTTGGAGAGACAGGTTTATGCATTAGTGTGCAGTATCTCTTCCATTCTTTTTGTTTACCATGCACTTACGGAATAGATTTCTTTATTTGCATGGCTTTAAAAATAATATACTAATTTTATCATTTAAACAGGCCATCTCACCATATGGACTTTTCATCCTGTTTGGTAAGATATGTCAAATATACCTTGAGAAACTATAGGGCTAGCATTCTTTTTATTTATCTGACACATGCTGGTTAATGCAAGCTCCATTGTTCTGTCTTTGTCCAAAAAATGCACAAGAGAATGTGTTGGTTTTAAAATGACAATTATTTGAGACAGTAGTTGTAGAACACAGGTACCAAAAAGGCAAATGGTTACAATGCCAGAAGAATTCCTCTGTGTGGTCCAATTTGTTTACTGCAGAGAATGGGAAAGCAAAGATGAAAAAACAAAGATTACATCAGAGGAAATGGCATACAGAATTGGCATGTATGTTAGCTGCAGAGGACAGTTTGTTGGCACAGTAGTATTTTAATATGCCTCTGTTAAGACAACTCAACACTGTTACACTATTTAAAAGCTGAATATAAACATACTGTTCTATGACTAAGATCCTGGGTTTTAATAATATAAATTAACCTGTTTAACAAGGTGATTATTCTTTCTAATGCTAATGTTAGTAAAAAGAAACAGCCTTGCCCTCGTGCTGTCTGTAGTAATCCTCTGGACAAATTTCCTTTCTGGATTTCAACAGGGGTGTATGGTGATGTGCATCGTGTGAAGATCATGTTTAAGAAAAGAGACCATGCTTTGGTCCAGATGGCAGATTCAACCCAGGCACACCTAGGTACTGATTTTTAAGGCACAGTTATGCTTCAGACTAGCATGAGCATGATATAGATGAGAAATTTGCTGTCAGTGACAAGTATAAAAAAGTTAAATACGTCATTGTGATGCTTTAATACATACAAACATTTCCTTTTTATGTTTAGAATGATGTTTGCTTTCATGTAAACAAATTACTTTTCTGTAGTGGTTTAAAAAAAATCCTGTGAATCTCAATCTAGTTAATGTTAGAATTGCATCATCCTACAATATTCCTGTAGTTTATTTTACTAGTACATCATAGAATTTTCCTGTAGTTTAGCCTGTATCTAGCAATTTAAGAATAATCAACTGCTCTTTAATGAAATGGTGTTTTGCATTTTTGTTGCATGTAGACTGAAGGTTACACTACATTCTTTTACTTGTTTTAAATATAATGTTATAACATAACCCACCTGGTAGACAGGGAAGTTGGCAGTTTAAATTTAGAATGAGAAATCTGACACTAAATAGAAGACAATATTCAAAGAATCCTTTTTTCTTCCCTTCCATTCATTCCTGGTCAAATTCTCTTTCCCCTGGTTAGCTCTCAGCTACCTGAATGGACAGAGGCTTTATGGAAAGATACTCCGTGCTACTTTTTCAAAACATAGCACAGTTCAACTTCCTCGTGTGGGATACGATGATGAAGGTTTGACACAGGACTATAGCAATAGCATTTTACATCGCTATAAGAAGCCTGGCTCTAAGAACTTTAGAAACATCTTTCCTCCATCTGCTACCCTGCATCTCTCCAATGTTTCGTGAGTATCTACATGTGTGATCTTCTTGGAAAGGTGATGGTTTTTTTAGGTTATGTTAAGTTCCAAAGTCTGACATAAGCTTTAAATTTCCTTGGCCTTTTACAGTTTCCTGAGAATTTGTGACATTCTGCTGTGTCATTAACAATAAGTGAATCCTTTAACTGTCACATTTTTTTACTGTTAGCAAAGAAGATAACTGATAGAATGCTCTTTTTTTACAAGTTTAAATACAGTTTACATTTTCTTGACAATATGCTTTGTTTTTCACATATTCCATCTTGTGTTATAATTTTTTGCAAAGATTAGGGCAATGGTTTTTGAGATAATGTACTGAACTTACATTACATTAAATTAATCATTGGCATAGAAGCTACTTTTGAGGTTTTTTTTATACTATTACAGAACTCTGTGCTCTTTTACAAGTCAAGGGGATTTTGTTCTGGTTTTGTTTGTTTTGTTTTAAATAGGCCTTTTGCTACTGTTGATGATTTGAAGAATCTTTTTGAAAGTGTTGGATCAACTGTGAAAGCCTTCAAATTCTTCCAGTAAGTTCTCTTGTAAAAATGCTGAGCAAGCTTTCATCCTGTAAGATGACTAATTGATTTTATTTATTTTTTTAAAAAATCCATGTATGTGTAACTATAGGCAAAATTCAATGTGCATGTATCTACAGGAATAAGCTATACAGCTATGACAGCTTTTATTGATCTTAAAATTTTAAATAAGATACTACTTGAGCATAATTACATGAAAATATTCAGCATCTTGACAAATTGCACCTATGTTCAAAGTAAAGTAAGTTTAAGGAAAGTAAATACTTGCTTCTTTAAAAAGAAATACAAGCTGTGTATATGTAAAATGTAATGTAAAAGGTGACAATGAATCCGCTCTAACATTCATTAAGGTTGCTTGGCAGCACTGTTTTAGCATAATTCTACCTGCTAGAATAATCTCATATATATGGACGATATAAAAGTCTCCAAGACTTATTTCAACGCTGTTTTTTCAACTGTATTGTGGTGAGAGAATGGCATGACTGTAGGCCAATTTATATAGTTTCAGTATCTCATTTTGGCAGGTGCAGTAGTTCTGATTCTTTTGCTGTAGAGTGTTCAGTGTGTGTGATGTGGCTGAAAAAATATTTGCGTCACTTTTCTGTGTTCACTAGTTCAGTGAAAATTTGGTTAGGACTAATAATGGTTTTTAATTATACTTCAGCAAAGACACCAGAATGGCTCTTATCCGGCTGGACTCTGTGGAAGAAGCAATTCATGCTCTCATTGAGCTTCACAATCATGACCTTGGAGGAAACCATCACCTCCGAATTTCCTTCTCAAAATGTACAATCTGACTTTTCTGTGAGCTTTAGGGCTGCATCACAGCTTTAGTAAAGTCTTCAAACAGAGACTGAAACAGCTGTGATCAGCTCTTTCTTAAATTAAAAAGTTCATTCATGCACAAAGAATTAAGCAATGAGCTTTTCTGATTTTCACTGCCAGTATGCAATCAAAGTTTAATATTCATCCCTAAAAAGATTCTACTATGAAATTGCTTTAGCAACGATATTTCTCACCAAATTTCCTACTTAAAATTACATTTTGAGAACATCTTCTTAGATTTTGTTTGAAATCAGCCTTACAAAACACTTCAGAGTGCTTCTACAATATACCAAAGGGGATGTCTAACAAAATGGTAAATCTACTCTACACAGATTAAACACTAATTTGAATGTGAAATAGTGCTTGGGCTTCTTGTTGAAAAGCAAGCACTGACTGTAAGTGTCCTCTAAATAGTATTTATGTTACCAGGGTGTGTGTTCATACTTAAGCAAATGTTTAGAAATAACTTTTTTAAAAGCAAGAGTCTGTGCTCTTCATATGGGTTAAATTATTAGAGAAAAGGTGCCTTCTTTCTGTGGAGTGAAAGATAATTGACAAGTTTCTTCAAGATGTGGTATCAGATACTTGACTTAACCATATAACAGAAGTTTAATGTCTTATTTTTACTATGAAGTGATGTTGTGTAATAGTACTTTGGAGAAAATAAGACAAGAAAATTGTCCTGATTTTAAAGAATTTTTTACATTTCTTTAAAGAATAAAATGTTTACAATCTTACAAAAAATATTCAGGTCTATGATGGTTTGAGAAGTTTTTAAGAACTTATTTTTGTTAACATCATCTTTGGGGACAGAAAAATTAAACCTCAAGAATTTTTTGTACCACTGTATAGTCTAATACTTAAATTACTGTATATTTACTTAATGTCTTATGATGTGCCTTACTATGTGCTTATGATACAATAGCGTAGAGTTTTATCTGAAGTATCTTAAAAAAAATATTGTGGGCTTTGTGTAAAAATCTCTTCCTGTTTTGTTTTTTTGGAAAGGTTTTTCTTGGTACTTCAAAATGTTGGGGATTTTTTCATTAAGTAATACTCTGAATTCTAGTTTCTTGTGCTTTAGTACAGAGATTGGACAAAGGTGGCAATAACGTTTAACTCCTTACATAATCATGTAGGGATTCGTTGAATTTACTTGGTCGCAGTTGTCTGGTACTAGTACTTTGCTGAAAAAAGATTCACACCTAAGCAAATGCAGTAAAACAACCCTATATAATGTTTTGCTTTCTGGTTTTGTGATGCATTTATCACTTATCTTTTTTTAATTCTCCTTTGCTGTTGTTCTATTTCTGCAGTTGAATTACTCTTGTCTTTTATGCCCATGTAAAGGACAGGAGTTATGTAAAGATGCTGCCTCTTAGGGAGAACTGCTTTTACAAGAAGCGCAGACAAGCTTCAAAACTAACAGCGTATCTTAATGTTTGCTTAGCAGAATTAAGGCAATAGTTAAGGCTAGTTTCTCATTCACAATTCTGCCTTGAATAATTAAAAGCAAAAACATAACCCCTTGTTTATCATAATGTATTGTTAGTGGAGGATCAGGAACAAATGAATTATTATACTTCGTGCTAGACTCATTAGTGCCTGATTGCAAAAGCACAGTTGCATCTCTTGTTCTTGATTCTCTAAAGTATATATGAGCAGACCCCTTGATATCTGTCGAAAAAAGCATGATGTGGGAAAGAATGGGATTATTCTACAGATTCTTACAGTGATGTAGGTTGGAAAGGAACCTCTGGAGCTCTTAATCCCACCTCTCACTCAGATTAGGGCCACCTTTGAGCAGTTGCTCAGAGAATTGTCCCATTAAATTTTCAGTATTTCCAGGAATGAAGATTTTGCAAATTCGGTGTTCTCCTCACTGTCCAATGTTTGACTGCCCTCATTGTGATTCCCCCTCCCTCCATCCAATATGTAATGAGGCTTTAAACATACTGCATCCTATATCGGTTGCCTTTTGTCCTGTTAACTGTGCAGCTCCCAAGAAGATTCTGGATCCATCTTCTCTATATGATGGCCTTAAGTTGTTAAAGATATATTAATAACTTCTTTAATATTGGTTCTTAATTTCTGTTTAAATAACTTTTGAAGTACTTGGTGTGCATAGTGAAACCCGGAACTTGCACTCTAAAACACTAGTGGTTATATCCTGACTACAGGTACTACAAATAGTTGAGGGTAGGGTTCTCTGCCTCTGTATATGTCAAGTCCACAAATCAGCTCTGAGTTACCTCTAGGATTTGTTTTCGTGGATGTATATTTGGATCAAAGTGTAGTAAGGCCTTTTTAACAACCCAAGAGCAGCTTAGTGCCTTTTCACGTGACCTATGATTCATTGCATAATGGTAAAACTTCTGCTGCTTTGAATTTCAACAGATGTCTTTGAACATCATAACAAATTTCTGAAACTTTGATTTGGTTGCACGTCTTTTGTTTAATGATAGATTGATGTCCTTTTTAGGACTAAGATATTCCACATATCTGAGGAGACTTGCCTATATATGACATCTTCTGATTACAGATAGCAAACCCATGTTTGTATGCCGAGAAAACTATTCACTTGTGTTGGTAATACTGCCAGTGTGGTTTGTCTGATCAAGTATGTTGCCCTCCTCTGATTCATGTCAGTAGGAAAGTGATGAGTTCTTTCTTTATAAGGGAAGTGGACCTACTACTTGTCATTGTATACTGTTAGCTCACACAGCTGTTTTTCAAATAAGAGGTCAAATGCTTAAAAAACTACTCTTTTTTCTTTACCTTTTGCCCTGTTGTTACCATTGTGCTGAAAGGTTACTGGTCAGATTGCACAGAACTTTTTCTTTAAATTAGCTTTATCTTCTGTCTCCTGAAGATTTGTTTGTTACATATAAGACCATTTGCTTGCTCCTTTCAAAGCAAGTCCTAGTATTAGGAATTGTGGATTATTTCAAGAAAGAATGGAAAAATCTAAAGTATTTAAGTTCAGGGCTTTATTGGGGATGGAGGATGGGAACAAAATGAGACCAAAGTTTATGCGCCTTCAGTAGTTATATGTATGGTTTTTTTCCCATCTATTGCTGTCTTATTATTGAATAAATACTTTATTCCACTATAAATAGTATATTTATATTGTTAAAAATTACATTATCTCTCTGCCTTTATGATTACAGTCTTTTGTACTGCAGTATGCAGGAATCCAAGCATAACCCACGTATTTCCAACTTTGAATAGTAATAACATGTGCCTGGAGCAGTTCCAAAGACATGAAGTGCTTACCTAGTTGAAGGTCCTTGATAACTTAAAAGTATTTTTACCTTAGCAGACTATTGTCATCACTGTAAGCAGCTTTTCAGTCCTTGGAAACTGTGCATTATTTATGAGTGGGAAGCTATAACCTATGTACCTAGTTCATTTTAAGCACTTTGCAATTCTTTTTGAATGTTAGCCACTTTCTGCAAAAGGTCACCCTAGAACGGCAGCAGCACCAGGTGAAGGTTGCTAATCAAGCAAATACTTGCATCAGAATGTCACCTCACTCTCTGACCAAAGAATGCCTGCCCTGGTTTCACTGAGACATTTTGTGAAAACCTGAGTTTTCTCTCATGCTCCTTTCTGATGGGAAGACCCAATGCGAAGTGGCCTTTACTTGAGACTACTACTGATGGATGAAACACAGTGGAAAATGAGATCATAATGTGAGCCAAATGGTGTGAGATAAGGCAAAAGATTAATGGACTACTATTCAAGATACAAAAAGCATGGCTAAGAATTGCTGACATGCCCTTATTTTACATAAAAGTTCCCTTTCAGTTTATAAAAATGTTCATCTAAGACAAGAAAATTATGTAAATATTTGTAACATCATGTTTTTTGAGGAGTTGCTTTTTTTTTTTTTTTCAAACCTGGCAAAAAGTTTGCCAGGAACAAAAAGTATGTTTGGGGAACAAATAGAAGTGTAAAATGTTTATATATATATATAAAAAAATTTGCCTTGTATATTTTAATAAACACCAGCTTTCATTTGTAAAACACCTTGTGGCATTGCATAAAAAGGATTCCATGTCTTTAGAGATTACTTAAAACTGAGAAGATGTAATATTAAAGAAACCTATTTTCTGACTGTGTAGTGCATGATTAATTTGATTTTTGTTTATGCTTCAATATATTCTGTTTCTTTTAGGCTAGTGTATTTGCTGATCACTTTATTATCTATACTTAACTCTTTTCCTAACTCTAGTTGTTGTAGCATGCTGTTTAATAAATGTCATTACAGTTGTACTCTCAAGTTTTCCTGTGTTCTGGTCTATTGCTTTGGCTTTTTTCGTGTCTTATAATTGTGCAGCTAATAATGTCTTATTTTCTGGTGGGGTTTTTTTTGTTTCTGTTTGTTTGTTTGTTGTTTTTTTTTTCTTTAGCATTCATGGTCATCTAAGCAAAATAATTCAAAAGTATTTTAAGAGGACTAATGAACATCTTCAACAACAGTTGAAGTTCAGCAGCATCTAAACTTTCCCCTGAGCAGGTTAGAAATTCTCATTTTCAGTAGTATGAAAATCTGTTCTAAAACCCTGAGCCAATACAGCAGCTGAAGACGGCTTCATTCATTTAGACAGGGATGAGAGACTTCAAGCCTCTCAATGAGAATTATTTTTTTTTCTCTTTTACCATGCTATACTCTTTTCTAGCATTAGAATTCAAGTTCATATCATTTGCACAAAGATTTTTTTTTAAATTAAATAGTAGCTGAAAAAGATGGTCTGCTTTCAGCTTCCCATTTCTCAACTTTCTTGTTGATTGCTTTTATACTATTCCACTTGTCCTTCTGTGTATTACAAAACACTACTTTAGACCCTGTTATTCTTGCATCCAAAATTCAGGACTATTGGTAAGCAGACAGTAGTCTAAAGCAATCGATATAAATATATGAATGATGTGGGTAGTGTAGTGTCTGAGTTAAAATTCTCACCCAATC